TGCTGCACGAGGCAACGTGTCTAATTTGTTTGACCATTTAAATCAGCAAAGCTCTGAACGATGAGCGCAAAGCAAATCTGAGACACATTCGCCTTTACTGGCGTCACACCAGAAGAGAAAAATCACCTCCAAAGACGATCAACACAGTTAGAGAAGAGGGTTTTTAAAAGCAGATCCAGAGCTGTGGGAAACATACGAGGCACAAGTTGAAACACAAAACTGTCACAGAGGAATATTGTGCAGCTTCAGCCAAACAGCAGAGATCTGCATCAGTCTGACCGGCGGCAATTTTACGAAACAATCATGCGAGTCGGAACAAAAAGAGCCGAGATGAGCTCAGCGGCAGACAGACGACGTGGTGAAGCTTCAGACGCCATCTTCCAGTCCATAAACATGTTAAATCATCTGATTTACTGGGAAATCTGTCCTTGAATACAGCTGTTAATCAGTTTAATTAATGTTAGTTTTATAAGCAATTTATCTTAAAGGCTTGAAAATGATAACAGACTTTTAAAAGTTTAAAAAAAAAAGACCATCAAACGTTCAAAATGCTTTATCTGATGCAGCTCTAGCACCAAAACACCAGCTATAAATGTGTTTTTGCCAGTTTCCAGGAGTCTTTTTGAAACTTCTGGAGGCACCTGTCCCTCTCCTACACACCTGTCTCATTAAACAGACGTGTGAAGATGTTATTTGTGATAGGACTCATAACCTGAGGCACTAAAATGACTTTTTAAATACTTCTCGAAGCGAATGTTTACACAGAAATCCCACCAATCGCTGTAGAATTCAGAATTCTTCTCCAATAGTTTCATTCAATCGTTTTTTTCCCGCTGAACAACGGTGATCTTCAAATCTGTTGGATGAAAGACTTTTGTGAACAAACAAGCCGGCGTGTAGGCGTGTTTGAAGAGCAACACGTGATCTCTGCGGTGAAATCAGTTCCCTCCCGTCAGTCGGGTTTGTTGGCTTGACTGCTTTCCAGGAACAACAGATGAAACGGAAACGTTTCACCGACCGCAAATTAAATAATTATCTGTCAAATTCAAGGATTGATGCTTCAGACAGAACTTGCCAAACACCATCCACATGCTGCGGTTCCACAGGTGCTGTGCCAAAAAAAAACAACCGACGTCCTCATGAGGAATTAGCCTCCGTGTTGTTTATGTTCTGTGCCCCGGATTAAAACCGATTCAGGTGTTTGAAGCAGCTTTAAAGGACAAATACAACTCATTAAATGCAGTTTTCCACCTGCCAAAAAGTGACTCCAACCCCGACACTGTGCCTGACTAATCGATTAATCACTGGATTAATTGGACATTCAGTTTACTGTCACAGAGGAGCAGAGAAACCAGAACGTATTCACATTAAAGAAGCTGGAATTAGTGGATTTAGACTTTTTATTGTCAGTATGTTGATGACTAACCTAATAGTTAATTCACTGAAGCTGCTCCGGTATTAACGCAATGACTAGATTTCATTCTTGAGACTTCAAAGATTATAGCTCGAGGATAGCTGGAAAAGAGACGATTTCTTTATCCTGTATATAAACCAGTGAGTAAATTGTGTTCATTAGTTTGCAGATATAAACAAGGATGTTATAAATATCTGAATCAGCACTTTAATACTGCCTATAGGACGAACTTCTTCTGCCACCACTGATATGAAGTCGTGTGTATCTGAGCGTTACGACTGTCTGATGGAGATAAAGGCCACTGTAGACGCCTCTGAAGGGGAGCAACATACATTTAATGAACGAAAACACGGCGTCCAAGCAGCATGAGTCGACCACAAAGGCTTCGCGTACAGCTGAGCATCTATAAACAGCTTCGACACACAGAACTCCATTTAACAGGAGCTGGCGTTTAGTTTGTTGCTTCCAGCTGTTCAGGAGTTTTTCCTCTGAGTTTATCAAGCAGACGGCAGCACGAGAGTCTCCAAAGAGCAGTTCAGTAATTACTTCTATGAATAAATGATCCCAGACGTGGAGACGGGACGGATCGATCGCTCCTCACTTCTGTCACTTCACTGTAAAGGTCTGATCCTTTTACTGAAGTCAGAATATTTAAGTTTTTTAATTTTTTTATGAGGAAGCAGCAGTGAAATTATCATGCAGGTGACTTCTGTAATCATTAAACCAAAGTACGGAAACAATTAAAACGTATTTTACTGAGCCAGTTTGATCAGTTATTATCACAAGTGCTGAGACGATAAATGAACTTTTCTTCTCAAACACTCTGCAGCTTTTCTCCTGGACTGTTTCGAACCTAAATAACCAAGTCAAGACTCGTCGCTGATAATTAAACAGCTCGTTTAGAGCCACAGCTGTGACGCTACACAGCGTCCCAGTAGGAAAATAAGATTATGAGTTAACCTAACAAGTTTAAATATGGAGGTTAAAACCCTTACAAGACATTTATGGTGTGAAGTGATTTAAAATATGAAAACTAAATTATGGAAACAGCCTGTAATACATGTTAAGGATATAAAATATATGGAGATTAACCGAAATAATTTGGAATTAAAGTTGTGATCCGACAAAAAAAATACCAAAATGTGAACCGTGCCAGTGTTTGCAGATCAGATAGTATGACATTCACTGTAAAATTACAAAGTATGGAGGTGTGGGAAATGGCATCTTTCCTCTGTCTGCTTGAAACTGCATAGAAATTTAATACAGCGATCACATTTCACAAGTCAGATGGTGGATTAAAATGTTAATAGACAGGCCTGCTTCAAAGAGAATATCTGCATAGATTATGCAGCCGTATTAAACCCTCATATGTGCATCTACTGGCAGGTGAAATGAAGTCACCTGCCACGAAATGTTCTCCACACAAGACCAGATGTTGTTCTGAGCTTTGAGAAGACAAACATGTTAAATATCCTGCATTCTTCATTATCACTGTCTGGTGTGTTTTCTCCACAGGGAGGGACTGGATGATCCTCCACATCAGTGTGTCATTTATGGTTTTCTAACGTGTCTCAACAGCAAAAGAGGATTCACGTAATTTTGTTTTTTTATTGCCACCCAGACATTTATAGCAGCTCCATCTGGGCCCCTTTAATAAAAAGATCTACCTGGAGGCTCCCCTACACATCAGTAGCACTCATCAGGCTGCTCGTCTCTGTAGCTGCAGGTCCAATTTAAACATTAAATCATTAAAAACGTTTTGGACCCAGCAGCACCTCCACTGATGCTACCCCACAGCTAGCTCCGTTAATCCTAAACAAAATCTCAACCATTAAAGGGGCAGCTAGCTCGGTGAAGTTCCCCAGCAGCCCCGCGGCCGCTCGCTGACGCCGACCGTCGCGGTGGCGTTTTATTAAAACAGCCGCTAAAGTGGTGAATCTCCGACAGCGGCTCTCCGGCGGAGGGTGACCGCGCCGGGGTTCACCTAATGTCAGGCAGCAGGTCGGGCAGCGCCGGCCTGCGGGCTCGGCTAGCTAACGTTAGCTCGCCGGAGCAGTGCCGCACCGCCGGGCAGCCGAACCCGGCCGTGTCTCCACGAACACCCCCCGGTAACCGACACCTGCGAGTCCACACACACGCTGACACCGACACACGACGCTTGAATTACCTGTATTGCGGACCGGCACCATGTGTGAAGCCGAAGTAGTTGCTAGCAGCCATCTTGGCATCTCCGGTACAGGACAGTGACTGACAGAGAGAAACGGAGCCAAGATGGTTCACCCCCCGGTACTGCCGGAGCCGTTCTTCTTCTGCTGGGGGAATTTACGGAAGGTGAGACTGAGCAGCGGCGTGTTGCAGCCCCCACAGGCCATCGGTGGAATTACACCAACACAGGTGGATCTATTGACTATAAATACTGACATTACATCTGAAGTCATCAGGAGGCTTTTTGCCCCACCGCCTCTAATTTGACTGAAACTTTTTTTTTAAAACCATAAACTAGTACTATATGAATTGACAATTGTGAAAATTTAGCTTGATATAGCAAATTATTTTTTTATTATTTTTTTTACAATTACCTGTTGACCCACTTTCAGCACACTTTTTTGCACATTCAAATTTGAGATTGTTTAGACGTCAAAATCTGAGGAAATCTAAAGATAAAAGCCTCAAAATCAGGGTGTAAAATGTTTTTTCTTCTTCTTGGTATTGGAGAACCATTTTGAGACTCTAGAATTCTACTCTGCTTGGATTACAGCAATATTTTAGTTTCTATGAGACAACTGCTTCATCAGTTATGAAATTTCAATGAAAATTATATTTTTTTCTTCAATTTTTGTGATTGATTTATTATAAAGTATTCTAAATGTTTATTTTTATTATTATTATGACATGAGGTTGGTTAAAAAAAATCACTTTTTTTGTTAAAGTGAATTCAAACATGGACTTTTCACAACTTCTTAAATTTTTTACACATTTCAACTCAATCCTAATCAAATATTATTTGAGTTACTTCTCTAAAATTGCAGATTCAGAATAAAATTCATGATGAGATGTTTTTATTATTGATGGTTCCTGAGATGTTTAAAGAAGCCTTAAACTTTATTGCACAATGAAACTTGCTAAAGTGGACAATTTTTTGTTTTATTTGTTTTGTATTGAAAAAATAGACAATTTAAGGTAAATTAACTAGAAATAGGCAAATCGTACATGATTACATTAGATAACCAGAACGGATGTGCTACTTTGACTAAATTTGTTGTGTTGTTTTTTGGGTTTTTTTGTGTTGTAAAGCTACTAGCTTGTTAAACAGATTTAAATTATTGTCGTTTTCAGTAGTGAAAAGATAAAAACTGACTTTTCTGGTGACATTTGTGGGAAAAACAAAATGTTCTTTGGAACTGTGAATTCACACAGTTTCATCTTGTTTACTGATTCTTATCAATTTAATGAATTGAGTGAACTCTCAGCTCTTCATTCAACCCACATTATAAGAACTGAAGCTTTTAAGTTTTAAAGGAAATAAAATTGGACAAGTAGATTAACCAAAAATTAGCAAATGGCACACATTTACATCAAGTAAACTTAAAAATATGGGTTAATTTGACTAAATTCTTTATGAGGTTTTACAGTGTACAGCTACCAGCTTGTTAAACAGGTTTACTTTATTGTCATTTTCTGCCATGAGAAGGTAAAAACTGGCTTTTCTGTTGACATTTTTTAAGGAAAATGAAGTTTTGGATTCACATTGGTTCACTGATTGTTGTGAACTTAATTTAACGAGCTGTGTGAACTCTCAGCTGTTCATTCATTCAACTTAAGTCATAAAAACTAAACATTTAAAGTTTTAAAGTTGTCTGTAAATAAATAAAATAGTCAATCTAAATACCTACAAATGATCAAAACTCATATATTCACATTCAGTGCTTCCCTGCTGGTGTTTTACAGTGTAGCTCTGGTTCCATCAAAGAGGAAAGTGTGTGGCGGGGAATCCTCTCGCTCTGTCGTTCTGCTGAATGGCTGGATGTCTCTGTGAGTCACTGCTGCACTCATGATTGAGCTGCAATCTAACAGTAAAAACCAAAGTACCGACCACAGAGTCACGAGTCAGAACATTTCAAATAAAACATCTCAGTTCACTCTCATTAACCTACAGGAGAATTAAAAAGCTGCTCTTCTGTGCTGCTGATGAGATTAATTTAAAAAATGACCTTGACTTTTAAAGGAATCACCTCAGCAGCGGCACAGAGTTAAACACAGAGGACAGAATGATAATAAATGTGATAATTAGGGGTAATAATTGCTGATAATTTTAGGATTTTACTCAAGGTGCAAAAAATTAGCACAAATCACAGAAAAGCCTTTTACAGGAATGTGCAGATTAAGTGTTTGCAGCAGGCTGAACTGATTGGCTGTCTGCAAGTGAAGTAATGAGCTGAATAATTAATGTGGTGTGGAGATCTGCGGCGTAGTACACTGTAAAACATCATTAAAAGAGTTCAGTCAAATCTGCTCAGCGTTTCTGCTTAAATATGTGTAGTTTCCAGCTAGAACAACTTTCAGATTTCAACTTTATTGTCACTGCACAGAGCACTAAAAAAGCAGTTTAGCATCAAACCAGAAATGCAAAAGCAGCAGTAAAGTGCCTTATTAGTGGCACGGGCTGAGCTCGAGGCCCTACTTGTACAGAGTACAAAAGTTTGCCGGACTACTCCTCCCACAGATTTGGGAGCACCCACACAAATTATATATCAAAACGTGCGGCTCGATCGGGAATCGTGTGCTTACGTACAGATTTACAAAAATCGCATTTTTCGCGACACAATTCGCAAAAACGTTGCAAAAATCTCCCATTGAAAATGAATGGGACAGACGAAAAAAACGCAAAAAATCCCACTACTTTTCAAACCTCCACTGCTCAGCCATGCTTTCACCTACAGACTCCATTTAAACTCTAAAATGTTGACGCGGCCTTCCCCTATTTCAAAGTGTTTTTACTTTTGTCATATCCTCAATCGTTTCATCGTGACAACCTCTCAAGTTTTGAAAGTTTTTCACTCCTTTTCAGCCTTTACAATGGGTGTGTATGTGG